AACTTGCGTTCGCGTCCATATTCAGTGGTGATGCCATCCGACAGAACTCCATCTACACTGACCGTTGTACCCTTTGTTGCTGGAGAAAGTGCACGCTTGGCGATTTTGATGGCACCGGGGATGTCCCTTGTTTCCGCGAGAACCAAAGCGAGGGCGTAAAGAGCTTCCACATTATGTTCGTCACCGAGATTAGGTGAAAGCGACTTCCTGAGGTACTGCACAGTTTTGGCCTGGATCGTGGCCCGTGCCTCAACTTCGTAAGTGAGCTGTGCCCAGTGTGCTTGACTGATGCCAATGGCGCAATAGGCGGCGGCTAGGGCCGTGGGTTCGACGAAAGATGTGCTCGAAGCAATTGAGCGGGTATCAGACGTTGAGCGAAGATGATCTGCCTGCTCCAACCAGTGCTCGATACTGTGAGCAATCTCGAGAGCCTTTTCGGCATCATGCCTAGATCCCCATCTACAGAGCATCCTGATGGCCTCGGCGGAGGTCCTCAACACCGTGCTGTCGTCGTCAATGCCAGCCTCGAGTTCGCCAGACTTTTCCGATCGATCCTTGTTCCGCGTGATGATCTCGACATAGGAATCGTAGGCTTTGTATGCCAACTCAGGCTCGGCTAGAGATGCGTGGACAACGAAGAGGTTGCGCAGGATCTGGGTCGAGTGGTACGTCTTGGTGGCTGCTCGATAGAGGATCTAGATGATATTAGTCATTGGATCCTCTCGGGGTAGATGAGTAACTTACATCAAGTACTCCTCGCGCGACACCCTCCTTTCCTCCCTCGCCCAGATCATCGTCGCTCCAGGTGGGACCGCAGAGGAGGCGCCAGTTGTCCATGACGGAATCCACCCACGTTTCGACTTCATGATTGGTCTCGCTGGCTTTGGGAAAGTGTGTCTCTCGTATCAACAGGTTCTCGTAGACAGCCTCGACACGTTTTAGCTCCGCCCGTTGCCGTAGACGTGCGTCTGACTGTGCGGTAGGCGTTGGCTTCTCTTGTATGATGGGCGTGGAATCGGGTTCGTAGGCGAGATCATAGCGGAGAATGGTTGATAGCGAGTCGTAGTAGGCCTTCCACGCCAATCTTCGATACCGTGCTGAGTTGCCAACGTCTGATGCGGCGTTCTTGGAAGTTGCATCCCAGAACTTTGCCCAGTAGCGGTAGGTGCGTAGAGCCTCGGACGCGTTGATTCGCTCGCTGAGGCCCATGGACTGGTCGGACAGTTGACAGAGACGGACGAGAGACTGCTCTCCCCACATCTTGAACTGGGCCGATTCGGTGTTCGGGGTGGTCGTCGTGGACAGCCAGGGTATTATCGACGAGTAGATGGTGGCTGCCTCACCAATCGCACCTGTCTTTTCGAGCGCGGAGCCTAGATTGCGTCAGTTCCGGAGCCAGAATGAGGTCACACAGTATAGCTGTACCCTTGAGATATGTGCCCTTGACCAGACACACCCGAGACCAGCCGCTCAAGGTGCCTGCTTCGCCCGACAGCTGGGTCGCGACTGCCCCAAAGTCCTGTGGGAGCCGCGCAACTGCCAGTCCCGGTTCGTCCAGCACGTAGTGGGCCCAGCCGAGGCAGACGTTGGCCTGGAAGGCGTCTTGACCCTGCGTGCCATCTTCTTCGATCGTTGCGAGCAGCGAGGGTATGATCTGTGACAGGCCGGTGGTGGAGGCGGCAGAGGAGGCGGTCGAGGGCCTCTTGGTGCTGTGTGCGGCTATCTGGGCGTCGGAGCGCGCTGTGAGGGTGAGGCCTTGGGTCGCCGTTAGCCCTCAGAAAGACCAAACAGAGAGGTTTGCTGACATCGTCGGTGCGGCGCATGCTTCTCGACCTTGCGACACAGCTCAGGCACGTCGGCCCATCGTCCGGCGCATCGAGCCTCGTCCAGCTGCTGTATGTAGCGCTTGGCCTTTTCGCTCTCAGGGGGGGTCTGTAGGTCCTGTAAGCTACCGTTGTTGAACATGACGTTGCTTCGGCGCCAGGGGAGAGGGAGGACAGCAACCTCGACATACCACCATGGTGCTAAGAATATGCCTTTGGCTCTGGACAGGGTCGCGATGTCTGTAGAATCATGTTCGACGAGCAATACTGAATGCGACGGCGCCGGCCATGGCTGTACACATGTCACTGACCGACTGCACAAGTCCCACTCTTCTGTGCAGTTGGCCCGCACATCCCTGCAGCTCTAGCGCATGCGGTCCGACGCTAACTCCGGGCCTTGAACTTTTTTCTACCAGCCATCGGCAACAGCCATTCCGCTGATCAGAGACGGGCTGATCAAATTTATCACCAGGGAAATCGCCATCATCATCATGGCGCCCATTGTTTCCGAACTGGCGACGCTGCGAGCGCTCAGTTTCCGCATCTCGTCCACGCCAACATTCCAGCTCCCCCAACACGTGCCTGCCATAGCTGCAGCATTAGCCAATTGCAGGACCCTCCTCTCTTCAGCCCAGGCCTCAGGTACCAAAGCGACGTCCTCGGAAGCATCCGTTGCTATACACAAGTACCGGACGCTACTCACCACTCTGCTCCAAGACCGGACTCCCCAAGGAAGATGGTGTGCCATAGTCTTGATCAAGGCCACGATTGAAGTCGGGGGTTGGGAGACTCTGCAGAAGAGTTTGCCATGGGTGCGTGGTCTTCTTGGGTTCTTGAACAAGCCGGATTCGCCGTCGTCAAAGAAGTTGTGCATCATCACCTTGACGCGCATTTTCCTTCTGACCAGAGAGTACCCGACGTTGATCCGCGAAATCACTACTCCGTCGCTATCACCTTTCGTCCAAGTCTGTCTACAGATAGTGAACGCCAAGGCTACCCCTGCCAGTCTGCTACAGATTATCCTAGAGAGCTTCAACGAGCTGCTGCCTCGACACCCTACCATCTTCCGGTCTTATCTGAAGCAACTTTACCCTCTTCTTGGACGTCTCATCGCACCCACGCCATCTGATATACTCAGCCAAGAGCAGCAAACTGGACCCAACCATGGAGCTTGCTCGGATATCGCAGCTGCGGCGCGCCAACTCTACGTCCAATTACCTTGCTGTGCACCAAAAGGAGCTTCGAGCGAAGAGTGGACAAAGGCTGTCAAGAACATTACGAACGTCACCCATCAAACAACAGATCGTGTGTTCCGTGCCGTGATTGAAGACTGGCAATCGACGGCACGTGAAGCACCTCTTTCGAACGGTCACACACTGGATGACGAAGTTCAGGACCTGGAGCCGGGCTCAGATCTATCCGCCTGGTCGGGAATCTTTGCTGGTGGCGAACGCTTGACAGGCCTGCTCTACGTCATCAAGGAGTACATCGAAAGCCCCACGGCGAATACTGTGTATGTCAACGTTGGCATGATCGTTGACCTACTCTCGAGAATGCTTTCCCTTACCATTCCTGTGGCGGCGAGCAAGAACTTCCAGAACACCGTACGTCTGAATGCTCAAGTCAGCAAGGACGAGCGTGAAAGCCTCTGGTTATTGTTGCCAGACGTACATGTCGCCGCGATTGAAGTGCTTCTTGCTCTAGCACACAGATCCCAGAACAGCACGTTGGCACTGGACCCTGCCATCATTGACCAACTTGTGTGGGTATTTAGTGCGGAAAAGGAGACAGCTCAGATTAGAACAGCATGCTACACGGCGATTGCTGCTTTGTTGAGGAGATCTGGAGTCGCCCTCCATAAGACTACCATCGATTCCCTTGTACCTCTGATTCGCGCTTGCTGCGACGATCTACTACCGCCCGAGATCGCGGCGCCTACAAGCCAACAGACTCCCGGCCAGGCTAAGGCCAATGGCAACAGTCAGCCCCAGACCACTGCCAACGCCGATAGCTTCCTTGGCGCTGCGAAGAACGCCGGCGGCCCCAACGCTGGATTCCCTGGACTCCAACAAGCCGCCCACGATCTGCTTCCGGTTCTACTCTCAAATGTTCCGGCTCAATACCTATCTGACTCAATGCGCGCTCGTCTGGACCGTACCGCTATTCTCATCCAGCACAAGGACGCCATGGTAGCTAGCGTGCTGAACCCACCACCAAGCAAGAAGTTTGGAAAGCCCGCAGCAAGCATATTATCACTCATGGCTCGATCGTTCTCCGCCGAGATGGATGTAGAGGGTATGCTCAGACCAAGGATGCCAGTCATTCGCCTGGGTGGCAAGAATTTGGAGTTGGATGATGGCAACGATGAGGATGAAGAGATGGAGGTTGAGGAGGAAGAAGTTGAAGAGGCGGAGGAAGAAGAGCAGCAAGCTCTAGAGCAGGCGGATGATCACTTCGCTGGACAAGAGTTGGACAATCTGCTGGAAACCGCTGGGCAATCAGATACAGTAGCGAAGGATTTTGCTATGGAAGACGCGCCAACACCCAGCAAACCTGACCTCTCCACTCCACGATCAGTTCGCAAAGGAACACTTGCGCAACGCCCTACCATCCCCGAACCTACCGCATTCAGCGAAACCAAGCGGCCGATAGGCGAAGATGGTCCTCTTTCCCCTTCCAAGCGAGCAAAGACTGGCGAAGACGAGCAGCGCACAACACACCCAATACCTCCTGCGCCAACAGCGTCTGTATCTTTCAGCAAATCTACTTCCACTACGGAAATAGCAGCTACGTCAGATTTCGCCGCTACCAGCACCGCCTCGGCTGTCCCTGACCTTCCCGAGCCAGGTGAAGGAGAACTCGACGACGAGGACAGTGATGATGACAAGATATCGCTTGTACTTGGAGTAGACACGGACGATGAGTCTGATTAGCGCTTGTGTGAAAACAGTAGTTGTATAGTCGCCTTGGCTTGCGAGAATGTAGTGAAGAAATAATAACAAGCGCAGTCCCTGCACGGACATATATCTCGTCCTCGCAGTGACCGATGATTTCTTCGAACTAATCCCTACAGCCCGCACCTTTCCCAATAACCTCCCCCGCGACGCCCTCGACTCCGTAGACACACCATCTACCACCTACCACCTACCACCGCCCACCACCAACCCACCCGCAACAATGGCACAACCTCCCCACCGCGCACCCCCCAAACGCACCGTCCCCAAGATCTCCGCCCCCAAACCACCCGCGGCCCCATCTGCCAAGCAGCCCGCAAAGCCCAAGAAAGAAAAGCGATACCCCTTCGACTCGCACCAAGACGACATCGTAGTCAACACCACTGAACTCGACACCGCTCCGGGCTATAGAAGAGGTATAGTGGACTATCGGCATAAACTCACGCTAAAGAAGACGTATGCGCATATCACGACGGACTATGCGGAGGATATGAAGATGACTATTCCGAAGGATGCGGTTACGCCCTTAGGGTCTGAGCCGTTTAGTGATGGGGATGGGGATGAAGATGGGGATGGAGACGAGGATGAAAATCCCAGCGCCAACGCCGAAAACCCCAAGTCCAAGCGCGACGAACGTACCTACGTCCCCGAAGTCAGCGACACAATCATCGACTACGCCAAGCTACCCAAACCGCGCTGCAACCGCCCTAACTACGTAGAATATATCTACCGCGCTACAACCACCAATCCCGCCGTCTTCCTCGCTATCCTGCGTGTCGCAGAGAGGAACTTGCCGTTTATAAATTTCGACTCGGCGATTACGCATTTACCTAATTTATTGGCGAATGCGAGACTTCCTGGTATACCGGCCCTGTCAGCTCTGTCGTCCGAGTCATCTGAAGCGTTGGGGGCGTCCGCATCGTCAAATCACCCGCAGAAACACAAACCCAACCAGCCCGCTTTCACAGAAGACACACCCCACTCAAAGAAAGAGACAGATATACCGATGACAATCCTCTTCCTACCGAACCTATACGAAGACGGGCGCCACGCACTCGGATACTACGCCCTCGCTCCCGAAGCAGATCCAGACACGAAACAACTCAATCCCGAAGACGTTGTGCAAATCCTGTTTACGCCGTGTATCATAGGTGATTTAGTGGAGGCGAAGTTGTTGGAATGGACGCCTATTGATCCTGATCTTAAGGCACGGGCTGATGAGAAGAAGGGTAAGGAGGGCGATGAGGTGAGAGGGGAGGATGGGAAGGAAGGGGATGCTGGGGAGGAAGAAGAAGAGTTGACTGTCGAATACATAGAACATGTGGCTGCGAGGGGAGGCGAGTGGTTGGAGCGGGATGTAGTGGGGGATTGGGAGGAGTGGTGTAGGAGTTTTAGGGTTGCGAGGAGGGTTTGGGAGAAGGTGCTTAAGGGGGTTGTGGAGGTTAAGGAGGTGGAGGATCTGAAGGAGGAGGTTGTGGAATGAGGCTGGGATGTGGGGGAGTGGGGATTAAGTAGGAGGGTGGAAAGCTGGAAAGAGCTTCGGCGTGCGTGTTTCGCTTTCCAGGATGCTTCTAGAATCTGGCCTTGATCGAGTCTGTAGCGGTTTGCTTACGTATGTGAGAGGATGCGCGTGCATCTGCAACGTCAGTCTCGAATTGCGGTAGTGACCGATGTTGACAGCATGTTTAGACAAGAATATTTGCATTTTTGTTTCGCAGGTCTGGGCGCTTGAAAGACATGACTTCCATCGCCGGTAGCGATGCATGTGTATCTGCGATGTGATACTGTCATGTTGGCGTCGTTTTGATCCGAAGCCTATTAACTATACATTACTGGTAAGTAGCTTGCACGAGGTTGAGTCCCAGCGGTGCATATCATACGAGCAGAGTGTGCAAAAGACTTTGTTGTATGAACAGCTAAATTGAGATGGTGCAGCTGCATAAAGCCTTAGAATTCCATTCAGTACCGCGAAGGTCATTGCAAAGATGTCAAACGTGGTTTCCCGATGGTTTTTTCTTTTTTTTCGTGGTGTTCCTCATTCTCCGGTAGGAGTCGATCTCGTTGGCGATGCGATAGTGATAGTGGCTCGTCATCCATCTTAATGGGTAACGGTGTAGGTTCCGGTGACAAGTTTCGCCCCCACTTATGCCGAATCTCTGCCGGCGAGATCCATTTCTCATTCTCATCAAAGAGGTCTGCCCAAACTGCCAATTCAAAGCTACTTCTTCCAATGAAGAGCTCTCTGAAAATTGCAAACCAAACCTTGAGTTGAGCGGATTCGATACCACGGAGGAGGATCTGTTTTGACTCGCACAAATGTTAAGATGGCGTGGTCGTACAAACATCTCTAGGCTCAAACTCCAAATCGACGGGGGCAGCTGTCCATTCCTGTATCGTATCATGGCCTCCTGGCAGTAGCTTCGTTGAGATGCTGCATTCGAGTTGTCCAGGAGAGGTCCGATTCCAGTTAACGTAGAACCCTCCAAACTGTGTACTGGAGATTTCAATACTGCCAGTGCGGGATGTGGCGTCTGGCAGGTGCTCCGCGACTAGAGGCGGTAACGAAGTGACTTGGAACCTCAATTCGTGGAAGATCGGGGATATGCGGACGCGTATGGGTGCTTTCGCATGGCGTAGGTTTTGATTGGTGGTTTCCTCGCCAACGAGTGTGATTCGAGCTCGTTCTATCGTACTTGGATCGTAAGACATTCTCTGGGTGTCCCACCTTACTGCAATGTTTAGCTGCTTGCTTGTAAGCCTATGGCTTCCTAGTGCACGTACGTCCTTTGGGGTTCCACTGATTGTCGAACATCATAGCAGCCTCCTTAGGATGTTTGGGCCCTAGCCGGAACAGACTGACTTCACCTGATCTCCGTCGGAAAATCAGCTTCGTTCTATCTACAGGCGACAATAAGATGGCCGGCCTCGTGTATGGGTCACCGTCTATTGCGCAGTCCAAGATTCCAAGGTAGTCACTCCAAGGTGTTCTGCCCAGCGGACACAGGAGCATTTCGACAGAGAGTGTAGCCCCAGAAAAACTAATGTGCGTACCACGATCTGGCATGTGCATATTTTGTATGTCGTAGCAGAAGGACGTAGGATCTGGGGCCAAGAACGAAGGCTGTCCACTAAAGAAGTTTACTGACGGATCGGTGTGGAAAGCTAAGATGGAGTGATCTGACGATATCTCAAGGATGGCCTTTTGCAGCCGATAGAAAGCTTTTTTCCCTTCACCGTACAGGAGGGGCATGTTGGCGTCGAATAGCCCCATCAGACAATAGGCGATGTCTTCCTCGCGCGTCGTCGTACGTTTGGAGGCCCACTTCATCTTTTGCGCTACGCTGAACCTGTCCATCATTGCGCGCACGTCCTGTTCTTCAGCGCTTTTGCAACATCGACATTCACTCTTTTCCAATTCTGCCCTGATCTTTTTAGCTCCAAGTTCGATGATCACACCGGTTGTCGTGGGCACTTTGATGGTCGGTAAAGAATGCCTCCGCAGCAATACCGATGCGTGAATCCCACTACTTTCCGAGAGCTGCGCTGCGAGAGAGATACGACTTCCCAGGTAGTCCCAGTTCACATCGTAGAAGTGCACGCGATCTGGAGCAATCATCTCCTGTAGCGTCCAACCTCGAGTGAGCCAGCGACATTCGGACAATGAACGCCGCCCTCCGGCTATTATATCGGATATATAAGCGTAGCAGATAACGGCGTCGCAGTACCATCGGAACATGGAGTTAATAGCTTCCGAGAGCTCCGCGCTGCTGTCCTTGTTGATGTTGCATGTATCAATCCAAACGAATTCGCAGCCATCTTGCAAGGCCTGTTCGCACGTTTTCCTTATCTTGAAGTAGCCTTTCTTAGCACTCCATTTGGCCCTGGACGTGTCCCGGACATCTTCAAAGAGCACCTCCCCATCTTCCCAGGTGTGCGATAAGATCGCGTACTTCGGCTTGATCGCGCCCAATACATCGTGAAATTCGTACGTCCTGGCGTTCAGAAGTCTCATGGAGGTCGTGATTCGATTGCGCCGCGCTTGCGCTACCGTGGGGGCGAAGAAAGTGGGGCTTCAATTTAATCGAGTCCTGCCGTAGAGCGACCCTGTAAAAGCATATGGTGATGTGGGAGTGTCTGCGAAGCCTGGGGGTAATGCCGAGGGTTTCATCTGAACAGTATATCATTAATGCGAGGCCTGGGAATTTGACCAGATGCATGTAGTGGCGTGAATACATGCCCGCTTCAGCTGCGCCCCTCACACGCATCCTGGAACGATCGCATGCAGATGACCTGCGAGGTTAGCGCCATGCACACTCAACGAATCTTAGTGCCTGGCGTCATTGGGCAGGTATTCAGTCCTCTTTGATGAAGTGCGGGTGAAGAAACACCCGTCCACGATTGTCGTATAGAATGTTTGGATGGATCGCGAGATCACGTGTGTAGAAAAAAAGGCTAATGCGATATTGAGGCAGCGCAGCACATTGACTCAAGAAGAGAAGACAAATGTGGCGTCGAATTCGGGGATGGTTGGGATGCAAGCAAACACGCAGAAGGAAGAGCATCGTGGAGGTTCGGAAGCTTCGGTGCTGGTGAGTTGCCGCTGCCGTGCGCGCGACGCGCAACGCTAGTCTCCTTTGGTGTGCCTAGCGCGACGCGCGCACGCGTTCTTGGGCGGCGGACACCTGGGCACCTACCCAGGCACAGTACTCACATTCCTGCACGACATCTCTCACACGAACCGCGCTTCTCCTGCTACAATGATGACTTGTGGACAGCTACAACATGCCCGGGTGTTCTCTATAACCAGTGGCAATGAAGGCGCATCCTGCCCTGGTGGCGTCGACTTTTCAGGGGACATCTGAACGCCACTCTGATGTATTCAACCCTAATATACACCTTTGGCGATTATCAGGAAGCAACACCAGGCCACAGTCCGAGTCAAAAGCGCGTTTGCTTGTCTATCAAGCATTCTGGCGTCGTATCAACCTCATCGATTCAGGTCTTCGAGAATGATTTTATTTATCTTGCTGGATATCTTCATGCGCTTATGGCAAGATGTCGGTGGATTCGCAAACACCGAGCTTATCATACCGTTCTGGAAAGTTAGAATGATGACACTGCGACAAGGGAAAGCAGGAATGAGAGGTGTTAACACACACGAGATCCTTTCACTCCGTACTTACTACGGCTGCCAAGCGCTGGACCGAATTCCCACCGCTACACTCAACTTGTGCGGAAGCGTAGATTCTGGGTTTGTTACTGCCTTTGGTTCTGTCTTCCCTCGATTTCCTCGATGCATTCCATATCACTACACGAAATAAATTCCCCTTGTCGAAATAAAGTGCACTCGGAGGGGGACGATACACTAGAGCCACGATGTTGCTTATGATACTCCTTGCCCTCTTTGCCTGGTGCGCCGTCGCGGTACTTCCTGTCTCTTTATCTTTACTAACATCAAAGCTAGCGCTCCCAAGGGAGGTATGGGCTGGTTCGGCGATTCGTTGGTAGTCCCGCAACCTTTTAAACGCCACGATACTAACATCCCTAGGTTTGGCGCCGACAAGAGCGGTCGCTGGCCGAAGCACCCCGATCACAGCGGCAAGACCGAAATCGCCTACTGCTACGAAAACAAGGCTGCCAAAGATGAGCTGGAAGGAGTTATAGCGGAGGGCTGGGGAGCGTGGCAGCGTTCTCTTGGTCGCTGGGGCAAGGAGAGTGGCCATTCACTGCTCTTCACACGGCGCCTTGTTCCTGGCCAAGACATCTACTGCTACCTGGCGAACGGCGATTGGAATCAGTTGTTTCCGGCAGACACCGTCGTCATCAAGCGCGGAGCCCCAGGGGGCTGGGCAGCAGCCTCTTCTTTGGGATATAGGTCTGAAGGTTCACCTGGTCGTCATCAATTGAGTATTGGCAACGCGGAACAAGCACCGAACAGAGATCTGGCCTGGGGTAAGTTGATAAGCAATTCTCGATTGTCCGGACCCGCTAACAGGTAGACAGTCGTAGCTCACGAACTAGGTACAACTATTTCTCCCCCATGAGTATACAAGCGGTAACTAATCGAATCCGTGCAGGCCACATCTTCGGCTTAATGCACGAACACTCACGCGGAGACCGCGACGACCACGTCCAGTTTAACTGCGCCAGTCTCACAGGCTACCACGAAGCTCTCCAAAAGGCCACTGCCGACGGCTTTACCATAAACGAACTCTGCAACATCTTTAATGTTTCGAAGCACTACCAATTCGACGCTTCAGAGTACTACAAGTGGACGAACGACGGCTTGGCATACAGCGCGGAGTATGATTACGATTCGATTATGCATTACAGCTCATGGCAGAGCCACAACCCTGCTCTTGTCAATCAGGATCAGAACAACCCCGACAATTACCCTTTGGTTCGACTCACCGGTGGAAAGAATGGTCAGAAGTCGCTCCTTCCGCTGCCACGTCCGAGTGGGGAGTGGGGAATTTCTAGACT